CCCATTCTGGATACTCCTCCCCCCTCACTATGGAGAAAGGGCGTTGGTACTTACCTGATACGCCTCTTCTCATAGTGGGAGGGGGAGTATCCAGTCCCTCCCTGACTATGTTAGTATGACTAAATGTTATGTTCATTGTTTTATGAAGTTATATAAATATTGATGTCGAAGACAATAAAGCTAAGAACTGAATTAAGAGTCTAGAGTGAATGGTGCAACGAGTCGGATAGAGCTCTTCGTCAAATATGGGGAATATCTGCTGGGCAAGGGACGTTGCTCAAAGAGCTTATCTGACTCATCCATTCATGAGAGGACAAGGTCAACCCATTCTGGATACTCCTCCCCCCACTATGAGAAGAGGCGTATCAGGTAAGTACCAACGCCATTTTTTCACTTTCATAGGAAAAGATATTGTGTAATACTGATGCCAAATCTACAAATCATAATTTTAAAATTGTATTGGTTAAATCTCTGCAATACAAAAAAATCATTTTTTTAAAACGTGGCATCTTAGTTTTGAATATTTTGCTGCTCTTTCTGTAGATTTCAATATTATAGTGGAGATTTTTTAATAAATTGGTATATTGGTATATTTTTTATTCATTGTATATTGGGAAGATTGGCTACAGAGGTAAAAGAAAAAAATCCTTTTATATATTTATTTTTTAAAAAATAATTCTGAAGCAAATTTTTCTATAAAAGTAAAAATAATAAGCACCTTCATCTCCTACAAACATGCTGGTTTCAAATTGTACCAAACGAATACAATTTCATTGTTCAGCCATTCATTTTAGAACAAAAATGAAGATAGAACAGTTAGGAAATTAAAGAGTGAGTAGATAGCATGTAGATAAATGTTATGGAAGAAAATTAACAGTAAATGGCCACTACAAATAATTTATAAATTATTTTGAGACTTTTAATTTTGTTTCAAATTGGTTGTAATTAACCATTTACAATAACATATATACAATCCAGTAGAATGAAACCTACATATTTCATTTCATATTTCAAAACTCTTTTAACACATGATTTAATGGATACTGTTACCCTGAATCTTTATACATCAAAGGCAACAGCTAGAGTTTGTAGTAAGACCCACTGGATTGAGAGATCTAGTTTTTGTTTATTGGTTGAATAGAATAATACTGTAAAAATGCAAGTATTTGAAAACTTACTGTTTCTCTGAGTATTAAATAATTTCTGATTAAGCAAAGTTTTGGAACAGATTTTGTCTCCGGGCCTACTTTTCCACAATGGATTTCTCCTTGGTTTGGTCTTGTTATTTAGTTTACCTAAGAATATGCATCTGCCATTGTTTTTCAAAGATGAATTTGCTGTAGATGTGTTTTTCTGACTTCTGGAAACCCTAAAAGAACTGTTGACTAAGCCTTCCAAATAAATAATTTAAAATATAGGCTCATTTTATAGATGTATAGTACAGTTTACAGTACTAAAATGTCATTTGTTTTTTTATTTTCACTAAGGGGGGGATGTAGTCATGAAGACACTATATTTTTGGTAAACCAGAAGAATCAATGCTAGGCTAGTTAGCATACCTTTGGATCTTATAGGCAACATGTAGCAGGATCAAATTCCTTTGGCCTCACTCTTATCTCAGAGTGGAAAGATGAGAGTGGATGAAGTTTATTGAGAACTTCATTGTAAACTTCTCAAAAGGTTCAGTAACAAAAGCTGTTTGAGGCTTTGATACTTGCCTTGTGTTTCTTTTATTAATAGAGTAAGTTTTGTGTCATACATTAACAGTGGTTCCCTGTGTTATGTTTTAAGAAAAAGATGGATGATGTTGAAGGTAGAGTTTAACTGACTTAGAATTAGATTGTTAAACTTCAAAACTTCTGTATCATGTGGCAGAATCATGTAGGAATAGCCACAAATTTAGTTCTCAGGAAAGTTTATCTGGAGTTAGGGTAGTTTGTGGTAACTTCTCTGTCAACTTCTTAATTCCTCTGCAGAGGAAAATCAAGCAAATAACAAGGGTTCACAGTTATCCATTCCCATAGGGACAAGTGTAACAAAGAAATGTTATTTTGCTCCCTTAGTACATGTCCAGCAGAGATGGGTTGCTCTTGGTTCGGCCCGGTTCGACCGAACTGGTAGTGGAATTGTGGCCTGAGAACCAAGAGCGACCCAGACTTGCCATGCTCCCAAACTGATTTCCCGATCTCATATGCCGTTGCCGACATGTTTCTGCGCATGCACAGAACAATTTTTAGTCAACTGCGCATGCACCAGCAATGTGTGGCTGGCACGAGCACACAGTGAACTGGTACCAACCAGCATAGGAATCCACCCCTGATGTCCACTATTTTTCCAGTGCAGTTTTTGTTGTCATCTACTCTGGAAAACAGAGAGAAAACTGCAACTCTCAAGTTCTTTCTGCAACAAATGTTCATAAAATGTTGAAACTTGTTGTTCTACATAATTTTGTTTCAGATTTAATTAAAATATCTAATTAATCCAGGACAGTTGTATAGAATCTACTTCATTTTTTTACAAGCTTGAGAGAGTGATTGTGATGCTTATAGAAGTTAACCTACAATTTGTCTTCTGGACCTTTGCCCTTTACACTTCATTTGAAGTCAGTTGGCAGGAGTAAGGGAAGATGACTTTTATATGGAAGGAAAACTCTCACCAGATCCACAAGTTTATAGTTACCACCAATTATTAATTTTAATATTCCTCTTTTGGGCAGGTTGATTGAACTTATGGTTGCGATTCAATTATTGTATAAACATTTTTCAAGATTAATATTAGTATTTGCTTTATTATTTTATAAATTCCTATTGTAATCCATTTGCTTAAATCAGAAATAGTTTTTCAATATTTTTAATATATGAAAATGTATTGGAAGAGAGTGGGAAATAGCACTTAGATTTAGATATAGTTAACATCTGTATATATTAACTTAGTGTCCCATAGTACTATTGTATGTAAAGGGAAAGGGAGTAAGATAAAGGTTGTCAATCATTTTAATTAGCAGATCTGCTTGAGGCTTGTAAATAGCTGAGATTTGCAAGGGCTGGTGCAAAAGCCCTGAAAGCTTATGCAATTTGGTTTAATTATTGCTTCATTGGTGGCATTTAGGGATGCTGGGTATTATGGTGGCCAGAGGCATTACATTGCTCATTTATGGAGTAGATAACAATGAACAATGTAACAATATATGAACCTGCGTTGATGTGCTCAGGAGTTGTGTCTAGAATATTTTCTGTATTTAAGAATAGTACATATATGGTCTTCCTTTATTTAAACTTCATTGAACATAGGAAAACTTGGTCTAACTGTTTAACATCTTAAATATGTGGACTTGTGTGTTCCTGATTATGCTCTGAATTTTCCTATTCCATCCCCCAGGTTAAGTGCCATTATTCCATTCAAAAATACATAGTGGCAAGTAAAACACTTGACCAGATAGAACATTTTCATGGGGGAATACTCAAACTCAGGTTTTGTGGAACTCAGGTAGGAAGGGCATTAGGGTGAAAATCTCAAGAAGCAAACTGGCAGGCAAATATTGGTTTCAGTGAAAGAGTGATATTACCTCCCTTCCATACATCAGTAAATCATCTTCATCTGTTAAGCTTCAGGTAGCACATCCAGTTATGATCAGCTGCTGATCATGATAATAATTGATAACTTGCCAGTGTGGACAGTATCATAATCATCTTTATGGTGGCTGACCATCCATCACTTCTGATTTTTCTTTTCTTTAAAATACATGGTTAACCTCTTCCTGCTGTATGAATGTCATGCTAGATTGTGCTGTAAATAAATCAGCAATGAATTGTAGATTGAGATAATGGTTATAATACTTTATCTGAATTTGTACCTTGCCCACACCAGGCCGTAACACAACACTTTTTAGTAGTGTTATGCAAATATATTTAATATTTATTCATTTATTAAATATGTATGTTGCCTGACTGGGAAGTTTTCAAAATTGGGGGGGGGGGAGCAACGTACGTAAAACAAAAGCAAAAATGGCTGAGATAACTAACCCAGATGGGGATAAAAGCAAAAGAAGAAAAAGGGGTTGCAATAATTATTAACACCTTTTAATGCATCTAGATCAGGAGTGTAAAACAGGTGACCTGTGTGCTGGATGCATCACACGCAGGCCACACCCATCCCAGCTCTATGAATGGGAAAAATGTTGCGTGACTGCAACGTGACGCCATGAGTTTAACACCTGTGATCTAGATGAACAGTGATTTCAGGCTTTACTGTAATCTGGTTTTTAATGTGAAAATGGATTCTTTGATTCACTGTGACACATTTGACTTTAAATTTGGATTCAACAAAAAAAATTCTAGCCTTGATTCTACAAAAAACAGTCTCTTTTAAGGGACAGAGTTAAGGTAAGGGGAAAGCTCCTACTGCTTTTTTCAGTTCTAGACATAACTAACAGATTCTACAGTTCTACTCCAGAAACTGAAGAATGCTACTGTTTTTGCATTGGGGATCCATGCTGTTCTCTCAATCAATGCAAAATCATCTTGGGTTTCATGAAAGTGCCATATCAATAATAGACATGATTAATTGCAATAAATTAAAGCTCAGTTTTGATCTGATGAAAATATTACTAGTGGATCTAACATTCTTACATAATTTTAATAGTTTTTTCCATTTATATTCACAGTAATTTCTGTTTTCTTTCAGCTTTACTCACTGAATGATTACAAACCTCCTATTTCAAAGGCTAAAATGACACAGATTACTAAGGCAGCAATCAAGGCCATAAAGGTAAGAAAATGATTATATAGCTTACAAATGTTTCTTAGCTTTAAATGGTCCAAATAGTAAGTGCAGAGCAATGCCCAGGTATCCAAGTCATTACATCAATTTCAATTTTAAAGAATTTCATTGTTGGTTAAAATTTAATGCGTGGAACCTTTAAATAATTATATGTTTCATATTGTTTGTGGCATTTCCTAAATACCCATTCAATGAGGGATTTCCATTGGACACTGTAAAATGTTTTTCCTTCCTGCTCTGTCCTTCTTTCTCCTTAAAAATAATGTTAATATTTGGTTATGCATTTAGTCAAAAAGAAGAAGCCATTCCTTTTTTACTGTATTCTTAAACTATTTTCTATCAAAGGGATATTTTAAAAAAAACCAAAGAAATACAGTAGGAAATCTTCCAAATATGGGTTTTGAGGGTATTATTCACTAAATTAAGTAACACACATTAACCAGAAAATTGTTAAAATAAGAAAGAAGATGGTACATAGTGGAAGCTATGTAAATGTTGTAAGGTGCACAGAGTATAACCGATGTGTAAGTTGGATGGCTATATAAATTTGTTTAATAAATAAATAATAAACCTATTGAACAAATTATATATTTTTATTTTTAGTTCTACAAACATGTTGTACAGAGTGTTGAGAAATTCATTCAAAAGGTAAGTCACCAAACAAAATATTATATTTTTAGTAATTTAAATATTCATCAATCTAGATCAGTGGGTCTCAACCTTCCTAATGCTGTGACCCTTTAATACAATTCCTCATGTTGTGGTGACCCCCGACCATAAAATTATTTTATGTTTTCTGTATTTTTTTCAAAAATATGTGTTTTCCTATGGTTTTAGGTGACCCCTGTGAAAGGGTTGTTTTATCCCCAAAGAGGTCCCGACCCACAGGTTGAGAACTGCTGATTTAGATGTTTACATATAGATAAATGTATTAAAGGCAATAATGTTACTGGATATATTATCACAATTTACAATCTGATGAGATACAGTATGTTATTTTTTCTCTGTGGAGCAATTGTAGGGGCAAACATGAAACGAGAGATATTTCTTTTTGGGAAGTTAGAATAGCCTATTGGAGTATGTGATTCAGTTCACTTATTGTTTACTTTACATGGATTACTTTGCAACCAGTGAGTCCCTTGGCTCACAAAAACTAGCATCCATGACTGCTTGCTTATCATAAAGGGTTTTATCTATTATATGGATATTATTTGAATCCAGTTTAATAAAAGCTAAACTTTCTTTGGAATTTACCCATACATTTTCAGAGTGACAGAACAGAGCCACAAATTTGCCTCAGATTACTGTCTCTGCACTAAATAATAGCTCTACCAGAGTTTGAGAACAGACATTTGAACACCTTGTGCAGTCATTTGCCACTTATCTGTCTATTTGAACAGTAAATAAATCATGTTCCATAGAATGGCAACATTCAGAGGAATCAGAATAAGTAAACCTCAGCCTGGCATTAGTTTGACAATCATTGTCCATATGAGATTGAATTGCCTAGCTGTCTTACTGCATTTTTTGTAAGAGCACAGGTGGCAATGTCCATGCGTGGAGATAATAATCTTGTTGCTTGTCCTATTCAACCCAATGTCAACCCATTCTGTGTGACCAGATTGCTCACAAATTGTGGGCAACACAGTTAACGCTAGCAACTATACATGATGGTGTGATTGTTGATATTGGCCCTACTCATCAATACTTATCGCACAATTTCAATTACCCCTATCACACAAGGGTATGATCTCAGTTCCAGAAGAACTTTTATGAATTGACCTCATATAAAATCAGTATCAAGCAATCTGTTTCTAATTTGTCTTTTTGTTTTCATATAATCATACCTTCATAGATGAAAAAGTTTTGGGGTTACTTTTAAGGCTATTTTTGCCAAGTATTGCCATAGATATTCTTCAATAATAATATTAGATAATTCTTTTGAGGGTAAATTTTGGTATGGACTGAGCCAAAAGCTCACAGTGTCTAAGCTAAAGTATCAATTGCAGGGGACTTACATCAAGTCAATAGAGGTGTAGGTAGCATATCATGGGTCTTATCCAAGTTTGAAATGCTCCCATAAAATAGATCTCTGTGGGTGACAGTGAACAGTGAACATTACCCTGTTTCCTACCACTCCTTTCTGCTGTGGACTCTGACTTTCACTCTCAGTACTTGGGCTTTTAACCAGTAAGAATGAGTTGACAAGGGGAGCACTTAGCATCACAATGTTTTTTGTGTCTTCCAGGGGAAAAGCCTCCACACTGGTACTGAGTTTTGTCTTAATTTTATCCCCCTCCCCATAATACTAGCTGGTGCCATAACTGCTGCATAGAGTACATATTAGTAGAGTCATGCCTCTGAGAAATTGCTATGTTCCCTACCACTAGCTGTTATTATTTAAAGAGTTAAAAAATTTAGAATATTCCAACTGTTAACATCAAAATGAAGATACATTTCCCTAAACTTATATAGTTTTTATTACCTTTATATAAATGAAGTTTGAATTTTTCCAACAAATAATTGCACCATACTAGACTCATTGTAATATAAAATAATACTATAGAGGAAAAAAGAGCATTCATAGTTTCTATAGCTTAGCTAATAAATCTTACAGGAAATTTGTATTCTTAATGTGTTTTTATGTAGTGTAAACCAGAATACAAGGTGCCTGGATTATATGTCATTGACTCGATTGTACGGCAGTCTCGGCATCAGTTTGGACAAGAAAAGGATGTCTTTGCTCCTCGGTTTAGCAATAACATCATTAGCACTTTCCAGAATTTATATCGTTGCCCTGGAGATGATAAGGTATGGATTCTCCTACGTTTTACTCTCCCCAATAATTTCAGTTTTCATTAAATATCTAATTTTACAATTTTTAATGTATTTTTTACTTGACAATATTTCTGAGTAATAGATAATAATATTTGTGAATAGGGGAGAATACCGTGCATGCCTTCACTATAATCCCTCTTGGGGTAAAAATTGTTATGCAGAGTACTGAAAAAGAGTAAGAAATAATAAACCAAAAGAAAAAAAGAGATGAGATTAAAAAGAAAAAGAAAAATAGATGTAGCTAAACCATTCACTATATTTGTCTATATCTTTCTTCCCTGCTGTATTTTATCATGTTTTATATATTGCCTTTTAAATTTAAATTTCTCATTTCTTTCTTAAAAACACATCAATTTATTACAGTTACAATTTTCTTCACCTTTCTTTTGGTATATAACATCATCCCACATGTATTAATTTTATAGTTTCAGTCTCATTAATTCTTTCTGTATAACCAAATGATCTCAATGTGTTTTCATAATGGTCACTGCCTTTTGTATTCAGTCCATATTAAATCACTACTCATTGAGTGATAATCTTTTATGGTTATCCCACACATGTCCTTCATAAGGAACTCATTTCTATTACATTCAGCTTTTATATTTTCCTTGACCTACCCAATTCTCAATCCAATATAATAAAGTACTTTTGGCATAAACACATTTTTATTTCTTTTGGAAAGAATAGTTTTTTGCAGCACTTCACATAGCACTCCTTATCTTTCTACCATGATCTGTACATTTTAAATGTTTTCCATTTTCACTCTTTGCAAGGGCACACATTCATCTACTAATAAGGATTGTAGTATTCTGTTTCCCTTGAGAAATACAACTTCCTTGCATTTCAGTGCATTTATTTTCAGGTCATTACTCATACAGCAGATGTCTGTTTATTTTGGAAAAATTAACACTATATCAATCAGCATTTTCCAATATTTTAGGACTATTTTGATGTGTGGAACAAATGAAAGGAATATAATTTTATTGAATAATGAATTGCAGATGGAAAAGAATATAATTGTTTATTGGTACTCAATTATCATTTCAACGTATAGCATGTGGGCCATATTTTTTAATCCCATAATGAAATCAAAAGCATAGATAGGATCTGGCTCGAGCAGGTGACATGATGATTTTGATCTGCACTGTTACTGTACATTAAACATTGCATAATATATTCATACCAAGGTAATCCAATAACAACATTCTTATAGAATGGATATGAAATTAAGCATGACAGTACCTAACCTGAAGATATACATTGTGTATATAAATGAACTAAGCTCTATAAAATTGAGAAAAGGAGTTTTAAGTCCTTGGGGATTTAAAATAATAGTTTAAACAGAATGCTAAAGATTTAGATTGGATGGAATCTAGGATCCCATAAACTAAATTCACTTAGGCAATAGAATGTATGGCTTTACTTCCTTAACCCTCAACTATTTGAATAGGTGCACAAGCATCTGCAGAGGAAGGGGACATTTCCCTTTCGTTTTCAATAATAGAATTCATTTCTGTTCTTAACTTTGTTAGAATTTGTGGCCACTACTAGAAGAGTCACAATCTGAATCACTAGGTACAAATAGAATCACTAGAATCTTTTAGTGCATTCATAGGAATAAGATGAGGGACTCTAATCCAATTTGAACAAGTCTGTTAATTTTGTCACATAGATCAGAGGTCCCTAACCACCAGGCCACAACCCACTATTGGGCCATGGTCTGTTTGGAACCGGGTCGTGCTAGCGGTGCGCAGCTCAACATGTGCGAGTGGCGGGCTGGTTCCCTTCTTTCCTCCCCCCTCCCTGGCCAGGCTGCCAAGCTATAAAGGCTGGGGACTGCTGACATAAACTATTTTTTATTCTCTAAGACTGGAGAAGGCATCTTCTTTGCAGGTAGGGACGGGAATATACCATCAGCTGTTTACTAATCTACCTTTCTTCTTGTTTTCCTCATTCATTTCTTGACTGGTAATTATTGTTGATTATGATGTTTGAATGTAATCAACTGATTATGGTTTATCTCCAGATCATGGTTTGATGAGTATGTCAAATTATAGTTTAGATCTTAGCAGTAGTGTTGACTGAAATATAGTGGTTGATTGAGACAAGATAGGAAATAGTGGTTAATTATATCAATCGAAGAAAATAAGAGGAATGTTCCTAAGTAATAAATAGATGTTTTGGACTAGTCTGCTAACTCTATGACAAATAATTTTGAAGTTTCTTGATTTCCAGTCCTAGTATAAAAAGGACACTGAAACCCACAACACATTCCTGATCCTTGTAACCATGATAGGGAATATTGAATATAGCCTCAGAAGTTTTATTTTAAAAGCTGTTTAACTTGGAAAAGGAATGGTGTAAAGTCTAAAATTAAATATTATTTCTTTCCTTCCTAGAGTAAAATTGTTAGAGTGCTCAATTTGTGGCAGAAGAATAATGTTTTCAAAAGTGAAATTATCCAGCCTCTATTAGATATGGCAGCAGGAATTCCTCCTCCAGTTGTGACTCCTGTTTTGCCAGGGACAACTGCTACTTTGAGTAATAATACACCAGGTAACAAGAACCCAACATTATCCTTTTGTTTTACATCCATGATAAATATCCATATTTAGCAACTTTCCCTTTGTTACATCTTTAAATTTTAAATTTGCAAGAATAATAGATTTTTGTTGCATTACATTTTTGCAGTTAAATTCCTTCCTGATATGTATATATTTTTCCTTGAATAGTATTCTTTCCTGATATGTGTACAGAAATATATATTCAGATTTCTAGGTTTTTTTATATTGTTTCTTTGGATAGAGACTTTAGTTTTTATATTTTTATAGCTATTTTGTATTTTATTTCTGGTCTTTTGAAAGGTGCATAACTATGAGAGGGAATTAGAAGGGAGAAGTGAAAAATATATATTTTTCTATAAGGATTTGAATGAAATGAATAGTTAAATTGATTAATATTTGCTTGTGAAATTTCTGTTGGTAGAAAAATAGACTATAATTCAATATCAGTCAGAAGAGTCCAGAGTTTAGACATACACATACATGTCTAATGAAGATGATTACGTTCAACATCATTTTTAAGTTAAAAGTGCCATTGTTAAGAACTTCATTTTTACAGAAAAATATTATATTTGCACATTAACCATTAGGGATCAGCATATTCTACAACATTAAGTACACAAATCTAAAAGACAAGCTTATGCTCGCTAAATAATACTATACATTTTTATATTTTATAACAGTATGATGGTAATGTGTTACAAGTTGTTGATACCAAAACCATATTTTGGAACCAGAGCACATGCTATCATGCAATATGTTGAGATTCACCAGATTGTATGTTCATTGAGCTGTGGTGGTTGCAGTGGTTAGAATGCAATTTTGCAGGCTAACTCACTGCTCACCCCAAGAGTTCGATTCTGACTGGCTCAAGGTTGACTCAGACGTCTATCCTTCTGAGTCAGTAAAATGAGGACCCAGATTGTTGGGGGCAATATGTAGACTCTGTAAACTGCTTAGAGATACACTATATTGCCAAAAGTATTCGCTCACCCATCCAAATAATCAGAATCAGGTGTTCCAATCACTTCCATGGCCACAGGTGTATAAAATCAAGTATCTAGGCATGCAGACTGTTTTACACACATTTTGAAAGAATGGGTCGCTCTCAGGAGCTCAGTGAATTCCAGCATGGAACTGTGATAGGATGCCGCCTGTGC